GCTGTATCACTGCGACACCAGCTGCGCAACCACTCATTTACGTCCTCAATTCGACGATCCCTGCCCAGTCCTTTCCCTTCAACAGGGAGGATGGACGAGAACACCACTTGCGCGCCGAATTCTTGGATCCTTCTTCCCAACGCTACATAATCCGCAGTAACCCGCTCAAGGTCATTCTTGGCCGTATCATTACTTCCCATGTGGAGAAGCAGGAAGGGGTAGCGATCTGAAGGTTTGATCATCTTGGTAAGCCTCTCAGTGACATCCTGAATGCGAGCTCCCGGTAAGCAGCACACCTCTCGAGATTCCAGGTCTGGACGGCAGAGGGATGGCTCAGTGCCTCTTAGGGGGGAGTCCCCAACCACCACCACCCATCGTTTTCTTTTGGGTGTGGTGGCCATAGAACCCCCATCCTTAGGACTACGCATCCCATGCCTTCCAGTAGATGGTGTTCCCTTCTGGTTATTTGGAGTAAAAACCTGAAATGCATCTGACACCCTTTCTATTGCTCCTAGATGCAGGAGGTGATTGATTTCTTGTCTCAAAAGAGATCTCATGGGAGGTGTCCCTGAAGAGGAAGGGGGAAGGGAAGGGATGGGGAAGCAATGTAAAGGGGATGACATAGCCTATATGGATGATTTCTAGCACACACTGAACCAATGTTATGTAATCCTATTTTTGACAGTATGGAGGGATGTACATGCCCAGTGTCCAAAGTGTAATCCAAGAGTTCTTGCTGCTGTGAAGGACCTTGTCCGTATTGGCTACAAAGAGTTTGTGCTTCTCAAAGGGGAGGTGGGAAGCAATGTAAAGGGGATGACATAGCCTATATGGATGATTTCTAGCACACACTGAACCAATGTTATGTAATCCTATTTTTGACAGTATGGAGGGATGTACATGCCCAGTGTCCAAAGTGTAATCCAAGAGTTCTTGCTGCTGTGAAGGACCTTGTCCGTATTGGCTACAAAGAGTTTGTGCTTCTCAAAGGGGAGGTCCTCACATGTGGCTGTTTTCATTACCACTGCTGTGGCAGTTGCTGTAGCTGCTATATCAGCTATGTCTATTGAGGACAGCAGGATTGTACGGGCAATGGTATGCCCTTCATGAATAATCAATTTGAGTATGGGTCCTTTAAAGTTTGGGAGGTGCTTCATGAGCTCGACAAATTTAGAGGAGTTATCAAAGTAATGTTTCACTAAATAGTTTGGAATTGTTAGCAATTCTCAGCTGTAGTGTGGCCAAAGAGTATACATTTCTTCTGAATAAGTCTAACTTTTTATGCTCCTTGTCATTAGACACTGGTATCCATAACCATGGAATTTGGTTGTGGATGTGAGAAAAGAAAATCTAAGTCCTTCAAAGGAATAAAGGATTTCCTGTCAGCCTTCTTGCATGTTGGTTGCATAGAGGCAGGGGTTTGACAAATTTCATCTAAAACTTCTAGAATGGCTTCATTGATGGATGTGATCCTTCCCTGAGAAGGGTGGATGTCCTTGAGGAGGCGGTGTTGCTTTTCCTTGACCTCCTGAACATCTTGACTTTCGGCCATGCACTTCAAAAGCTCTTGGAATTGCTTCAAAACATCTGTAGGGTGGGTATGGGAAGGTTACTCACCTCATGCAGTAACTGGAGTTCTTCAGATGTATCCCCATAGGTGCTCCACTTAGATGTGTCAGTGCGGCTGTGCACATGGCCTGGAGATCTTTGGTAACAGTCTCCTAGATGCTGGTGTGTGCTGTGCTATTGCACAATTGCTCAGACTGACAGTTTAGCACACACTGGCTGCCATTCCTTCTGTTCCTTCTCCATAATGGACTTTCTTTGCCCAGAATAGAGGGTAGGACGGTGGGTGTGGAGTACCCACAAGGACACACCTCAAAGAACTCCAGTTACTGCACAAGGTGTGTAACCTTCCCTTCTTCTTTGAGGGTTCCCGGGGGTGCTCCACTTAGATGACCACGCATGAGTATTCCTGCTTGGTGGTGGGTGTTCCATGTTGCAGAGCTAGATGTGGGACAGTATGGTGCCCCTGCATGTTGGCATCAGCCATCTTAGCTCTTGATACCTGAAGGGGTGGTTCTAGTTGCGGTTGTTGAATTGTATAGGGTTCCCACGGGTCCCAGTAGGGCCACAGTAGGAGCAGTGGGAGTACCCACTGTGCCATCTGCCAATTTTGGGCTTCCTGCTGCTGTGTAATAGTGTATTGGTGAAATCTGCACTGGCCCCTTATTTCCTCGTTGTCATCATCGCTAAATCTCACTGATATTAGTGATGCTGGTGAGGACGATAGTACGGAACCTCTATATCATGGTGTGACATCGGTACTGTACCAAATTATGGTGAGCATGGTACTGATGGTACTGCAATGTCCGGCTCTGTCATGTATCTTGGGACCGGGGGCAGCGACAGCATTACTGTACAGCCTGCCACTGCTTTTTATCTGCTGCTGGTACTGGCTTCTCCTGCGGTACCATGTGCCTGTTCTGAGGAGAACTCAAAGCCTGGAAAGCAGCTCTGTGCTTCACTTTGGGATCACCGGCTCTTCTTAACCCACTTTATGCATCCTGTTCAGGGCAAGCACTGTCTGCCTCATTGCCTAGAAGGCTTTTATTGGTCGGTTACAGAGATTCAGTAGCGGACCGGGAGCATTTTGTGCTGCATTCCTTGTCTGGCTTTGTAGCACATCCCTCTGAGGGAGTATTCCTTTTTCCGTCCATTCCTGGTGTAGTCTCTTTGGGGTTGGGGTAAGTGTGAGTCAGGCTGCAGTTCAGCCGCAACCTTTTCCATAAAAAACAAGTTTTTTGACAGTGAGAGCAGTGACTCTTTCAGTGGTCCTGCCCTAGGCAGCAAAGACACTGTTCCTGCCCATTTGCTGATGAGATAAATATGCTGCACCCTGTACACCTTTTGAAACCAAAAGGTTCTGGCATAACAGGGTTTTCTGCTTGAGGTGCTCCAGGTGAGCAGGACACAGCAGTGGCACCAATGCCCCACTCTGCTTGTTCTTTATGTTCTGTGGCTTTTTTTATGTTAATCAGCTCAAGCTGCTACACTCTTCTTTCTTTCTTTCTTTCTTTCTTTCTTTCTTTCTTTCTTTCTTTCTTTCTTTCTTTCTTTCTTTCTTTCTTTCTTAAAAAAAGGCTTTTAGGGAGACAGTGCTACTCATGATTCATGCTGGTGGCGGTTCAGAAGGAACTGAGGGAATGTCTGCTGGCATGTGCTAAACTGTCAGTCTGAGCGATTGTGCAATAGTGCAGCATGCACAGCCATCTGGAGACTGCTACTAAAGATCTCCAGGCTTCACGGACAGTGGTGCTGTTACACCTAAGTGGAGCACCCACAGGGACCCTCGAAGAAGAACTGGAGGGGTCTCACCGGCAAAAGCCTACACCGGTGCCAGCGATATTTAATAATGAGGCACTGAAAAAAGCAGCATCACCACTCAAGATAATGATCTATGCTCTGCGGTCCTGGAAGTGCCTGGTGTGTCCCCATGGCTCACCCTAGGAGATGGGGTGGGGGCAACAATCTCACTGGACAGGGTCTCTTTTTTGAATGCTTGTGAGGTGATGGAGAGGCAGCCCTTTTCCTAGGAACCTGTCCCAGCAGCAGAGAGGATTGGGACTCCTCAGTAGGCTGAATAGCCTTCTTGAAAAAAATCACAGAGACAAAGCTCCCTCTCTTTTCTGTCTCTGGCCGTGAGGCTGTGGCAATGATAACACTTTTAGGGTACATGATCTTCTCCAAGCAGCATATGCATATTGAATGTTTGTCCAATGCAAGCACTGGCTCATGAAATGTCTCACATTTCTTTAAGTTTGGCAAGCTCGTAATGACAGAGTCTGCGTGAGGTTAAACTCTCAATTGCTGAGACTGTCACTCTCCACTTCCTTTATCTTCTTTGCCCTTCTCTTTCTTAAAAAAATAAAAAAAACACCCAATGGGAAGGAGGGGAGGGTAAAAGTGTTATGCGGCTGCGTGGACAAGCCAGTGCAGGCAACTGCATTTGGAGCTGACAGATTTTTTTTTTTTTACAGGAACTGAAAGATGAATGGTTAACAAGAAAAAACCTAAGGAAAAGGTATAACTTGAACTATCTCCATGAGGAAATGAAAGTCTGAGGAGAAAGGAGAGCTCCGTCTGTGACTGAAGGCAGAAAGTGAGGATGTCAGGATACATGCAAGAGGCGCTGAAGCAAGAGCCATGCAAAGTGATCTCTGCACGTGTGTGGCCTACTGACAACTGCTCAAAAAAAGCTCCATGCTGCGGCTCTGGGACAATCCATCACCAACACTAGAGCACCCACAGTCACATCACCAAAGAAGAACAGAGAAGCTAGAGTAAGGACTGAGGGATACCCGCAGCTGGGGCTGGCGGAAGTCAAAGATGGGATACAGAGGGGCTGCAGGCAGTGGTGATATTTGTCCTTTGTAAACCCCAGTGCACAGCTCAGTTCCTCCTACCAGTTACCTGACATTTATGGTATTTGCAAGGTCACGTTGCTTTAGAGGACTCATTCAGAACCTGGGCTGCACTGACCTGGATGGAACATCTGACACCTCACTGGCCAGTTCCCACATTCAGGGGACCTCTCACAGCCTCAGGGTTCCCTGCAATTGTACGACTTGCTGGTGCCTAATGCTACCTGCAGGCCAGGACTCAGGAACACTGGCAGAGCGGTGGGAGTGCAGAGTCCAGGAGGGCTGATATAGCAGGAGTGACAGATTGGAAGTGAGTGGTTTGGCAAAGTGGTGTGGTGCAGCATGGATTTTGCAGGTCAGAATTAAGATATAGCCACAGAATTGCATAAAGAAAATTTGCTAAGACCCTGATTAAATAACCCTAATCTGAAATGTCAGCTACAAACACTGCAGTATGTATTCCCAAGGAAAGAGAAAACCATCAGGAACAAAATCAGCATATTCTGTGTGATGATTTCCCTATCTTGTTCTAGTGTGAAAGCACAGGCACACATTTAATGGGGATTATCCAAGCACCTGACTCCAGCCGCTTGATCTTCTTCTCCTGATTTTCTGAAATGGGAAAGAGAAAAGAGTTAGATACAGAGAAGTGTTGTTTGATACTGTGGCCTGAGAATGACAGACACCCCACAGCCATACTTGTTGTTTCAGTTCTGGAGCCAGCAACTTTGATGGGAGTAGGGCTGGCGCTTAGTAATACACACCAGCATGTGGAAGACCTAGGATTTGCAAGCATCCAACCTTGATGGAAAATGTAGATCTGGATCCTGGTACAGCTCTGATATTGTCAACCCTCCCCATGGGATATCCTCTCCTGTAACTACGAATATTTATTTAGCACTGATCCCAGTCAGCAACGGGTATTAATTGACAATGTGCGTCATCATCTGTGTTGCGCTGCAGCTGATGATGCTATCAGTGCTATGGAGCATGAAAGCTACACACACTAGGCATAATTAGGGGATGGGCATGCCAGTGATAGGAGCTCAGATCTAGCATTTGGCCTAAGCAACAGAGAATGCGAATGTGAGCCACATTCTGGGAAGTGACCCAGCAGAACCTGCACTGCAGCAATCATCTCTAGAAAGTGGTTGTCCCCCTTCTTCTGCATCAGAACAATGTGATTGGTGCGCTATTGTCAAAGTCACAGTGACACCTGTCTGTCTGCCAGAAATGTGCACAAGTAACCCTGTGTCTGCTCCAGAGAGCTCATGGTGCAGTGCTGAGACCGGATGACTCTAATGTGACAGTTTTTGGCCTAAACTGTTCACTCAGCCCTTTCCTGTGGTGCTGATGCTTCTGGGACTGCTCAGTTCCCTGTATGGTTGGGAGCCTCTGCCCAAGGGCTCTAATAGGAATGTGGATTAACATACCCAGTTTCTCATGCAGGTCCTGACACTCTGGGGAGAGAAGAAAAGGAGGTCAGCAGCGTTTTTGCATGGGTCATTCAGAGGACGATGTGGGGCCAGTCCAGTGTTTGTATACACCTACACTACCACTGCCTAGGCACTTCCTGGTTTGGGCAGGCAGACACAGGCCAATTCTGCTCTAAGGAGTATGATAAAAGTAGCACAGTGGCACATGCAGTAACTTGGACTAGCCACTGCATTACAAAGCTGTTTAGATCTCATGGGCACATTGTTTAAGTAGGTGCTGAGCTGCTGCCTAGGCTACTCCCAAGTACACTGCTATACGTGGCATTTTAAGTGATCAGAAGGGCCCTTAAGTAGCAAATACTCATCTACAGGACTCATAGGAGATAGTATTTTCCAATTATGCACTCATGGTGTGTCTAGACTACATGGGTCCATCGATGGAGCCATGTAGATGAGTTTACTAGACATAGCAAAATGAAGCGGCGATTTAAATAATCGCCGCTTCATTTACATCAAAATGGCTGCCACGCTGTGCCGATCAGCTACAGTCTACACGGGGATCAGCTGACCCCAGAACCATTTGTCGTCAGATCCTTTATACCTCGTTAAAGGATCTGACGACAAAGGGTTCTGGGGTAGGCTGATCCCAATCTAGACTACCATGCTGTGCTGACAATCAGCTGATTGGCACAGCGTGGCGGCCATTTTGATGTAAATGAAGCGGCGATTATTTAAATCGCCGCTTCATTTTGCTATGTCTAGTAAACTCATCTACATGGCTCCGTTGTCGGAGCCATGAAGTCTAGACTCACCCTCAGTGACCTGTGGATAGTTCCCATAATGTGAAGATCTGCTCTGACAGAGGATTCCAGTCCTGGGATCTGATTGGTGGAGCACCTGGTGTCCTTATTGGTTTCCTGATTCTATTTAAACTGATCACAGAATAAGAAGTCACCTGCACAACTGGGTTTCCCATGCTTAGTGCAGGTTCCCCTATGCTACCTTCTGCTCACAGACTCTTATCTCCTGGTCATATGATCTGTTGCTTCTTGACACCTGAATCTTCATTTGCCCTTTGGCACCGTCACTCTGATCTCCAGATAGCCTGACCTGCACTTCATCCTGGCTTCTGACCCCTCTTCTGAACACTAAGCCTGACCACTCATGTCCCAGTTCTGACAGTCTACATGGACTGTGTTGGTCACATATGTGGGCCTGGTACTGGGTGAATGGATCCAGGTACTCTACTGCCAGGTATGCTTGAGCAGGCCATCGATCTTCAGGCAGACTACCAAGCCTCTCAGGCCTGGATTACACAGCTGACATCAAAAAGCCAGGTATTTCAAGAGCTAGTAAGGAAGCTGCATGCAGAAAATGCTTGTGCTCCAGACACAGCCTGCAAAGGCCTGTTTTCTGTTACCTCTGCCTGAATGATTTGACCCTAACTGCCAGCAATTCTGGAGGTTTATAACCAATGTTGTCTTCATCAGCGTGTTGTCAGTCCTTGACTGATTGTGAAAAGATGGCCGTGGTGGCAGCCTGCTGTAGGGAGAAGTTGGAAATTAAGTCTCCCCTTCCTGTACAACCCCAGTAACATCCCAGTGTTTTCAAACTGGGTTATCTTCCTCCAAGTCACTCCACTTCTATTGGATGATCAGCAGTGAGATTGAGTGGGGAAGGCTGTCCTAAGAGAGACCTCAAAGCAGCAAGGAACCACATCCTTCCATGTAGTTTATTTTCACTGCCTTCCCATTGAAACAGATTGAATGAGGTATTCACTGGTCTTAAAACCTGGGGTCCCTATGGAGGACAACATTACACTAGGGTGTTATTTCAGAATAACTCCCCTTTAGGTCAAATTTATAAGCAGAGAGTTCACACTGCGAAGTCTGTTATTTTGAAATAACTAGACACTTATTTTGAAATCTCTACTCCTGCTTTTCTTCTGGGAATAATGTTAATTTCAAAATAATTATTTTGAAATACAGGTAGTGTGGATGTTCAATTTCTGCTATTTTGAAATAACTACGCCTCAGGGTAATTCAAACTAATTACTCCCCAGTGCTTTCTGGGGCTCTAAGTTGAGGAACCGCATCCACATTAAGGGTAGGTATACACAGCAGGGATATTTCAGGATACTGGAAATATCCTGAAATAGCTACCCAGCATCTTTTGAATGCACTCGCTATTTTGAGATAGGTCTCAAGATAGCGGATGTGCTATTTTTGGTATCCATGTAACCCTCATTCCACAAGGATTAAGGGATGGCTCAAAATAGCATACTAGACAGGCCAAATGTTGGAAAAGCCTCTTCCGACAAAGTATTGGAAAAAGCTACACAAAATGCGGAGTGTATTTTGTGTAGCTTTTTCCGATACAACAGTGCAGTGTAGCCCTAGACTAAGTGCAGTTCAGTACTAAGAGGCAGTGTCAGAGTTGTGGTGCTGCAGAGACCAGGACCAGGTAACAGTGGGCTGGCTGTGAGTTGTTACCTACCAGCCCTGTGCTCTTGGGCACCCAGGGAGTGACATTCATGGAAAACCATCCTTCCCTCCCCACCCTTTCCCCTAAGCCTTTGCTAGAATCAGACAAAGCAATGAAAAGGCCAGGGAAGGCATGCCTAAACTAATTAAGGAAACACCCCAGCCTCATCTGCATTGAAGATAGAACTCATTAGCATACAGAATGGAGACCAGCTCTTCCAAGGCAGGAACCATGGTGAATTATGGGACACTGAAAGCAGAGAAGCACTGCCTGATGGGAAATCTCTACTTCAGATGCTAATGAACCCAGGCCTGCTCACACCCAATCAGACCAATTCTAGTAACGATCCTATTGACATCTAAAATACTGAAACTGCCTAGTTGCACTGTGAGCTCATTCAAGGAACATCACCCATAACCAGGGGTGATCAGTCTCTATTATCTCGTCTCTTTCTCTTTGAACTATTGTCCTATCCCTATAAAAACTCCTATCCTTGCCCCAAGAAAAAATGTTCTGATACCAGGATTTAAACTGCATCAGTTTCATTGAGACTTCATCATCTCCTGTCAGATCATGCTGGGGTCTCTGCTCTGCTCAGATCAGCTGAGGCTCGTGAAACAAACTTTACCAGAGCAGTTGACAAAGGCTTCCCTTGTCGACTGCGGCACATCTAGACTGCCCCACTGTGCCGGATGAGCTGATCGTCAGCACAGAGAGGCAGCCATGTTTATTTTAATGAAGCGGGGATTATTTAAATCCCTACTTCTTTGCCTATGCCGAATAAACTATTTTATATGGCTCCGTTGATGGAGCCATGTAGTCTAGACATAGCCTAGTCTCCTGCCTTCTGGACCCCCAGCTCCCATCACCATCTGGGAATCCCGATCAGTGCAAGCTCCACGAATGGTGAGATCTCTCTCTCTCTCTCTCTCTCTCTCTCTCCCCTCTCCTCCCTACAACTACCTATCTCTAAGCCTAGCCTCCTGACTCTGCCCTGTGTAAACTGTTATATGGTTAGCTAGCCCTAACATTTGTAATCAGTTCCAATTTAGATTTAATATTGTAAGGCTACATCTAGACTGGCATGATTTTCCGCACATGCTTATAATGGAAATGTTTTTCCGTTAAAAGCATTTGCGAAAAAGAGCATCTATATTGGCACGGACGCTTTTGTGCAAAAGCACTTTTTGCAGAAAAGTGTCCGTGGCAATCTAGATGCGGTTTTGTGCAAGAAAGCCCCGATCGCCATTTTAGCCATCGGGGCTTTTTTGTGCAAAACAGTCCTGAGCTGTCTACATTGGCCCTCTTGTGCAAATACATTTGCGCAAGAGGGCTTTTTCCCGAACGGGAGCATCATAGTATTTGCGGAAGAACACTGACAATCTTACGTTTGAATCTAAAATTCAAGCGGCCAGTGTAGACAGCTGACAAGTTTTTCTGCTTTTGCGGAAAAACTTGCCAGTCTAGATGCAGCCTAACCGTTTTGTGTGCTTGGCTCCCTATATATATAATAAATAACTTTAATTGTTAAGCTGGTTGCTTCTCTCTCTTTCTTTCTCTTTCTCTCACTCTTCCTCAAGGGGTGTTGTTTTGACTTCCCCATTCACTCCGCAACAACGTTTCTTGTACCCAAGCTAAAGATCCCTGTAGTGCCCAAAGTCCTGGGGGGTTTGCTCATCGTGTGGTTTACTAGTGAATAATTGTAGTGTGAAAGTGGGGATAGGGGGTGCTGAACCTGGGGGCATATGAGGATGGCAGCTTAAAGTGCTGTTTAATCCAGCCCACTAAGTCCAAAGGCACATGAGGGTGCAGAGTGGCATTGCTGTTAAACCCAGCCTGCTGAATCCAGAGACATATAAAGGGTCAACTTGTGAGTACTGATTACCCAGACGTGGGGTTCTTCCTACTTTAGCAACACGTACCCTGCTAAGGTAGGAAGAACCCCATCCTGACGAACCTAGTTCCTGCAGGAGAGCTACAGTGGGAGGGGGAATTGGCAGCAGGGAAAATTCAGCTCCATATGAGAGCACAAGCAGCACACTGTTAACCTTCCACCAGTCCCATAAGAGTAACCCTAATAAATGAGAATATCCCAGAGTATGGGACAAATCTGGTAACAGAGTAGAGATTGAGAAGTACCAACAGCGCTGTGTGTGGGCGAGCCTAGGATAAAATAGCAGGAATTTTGCAGGTCAGAATTGAGATGTATCCCCAGAAGTGCATGGATACATTTGAAGTACACCCACCACTTGACTAAGTCCCACTATTCAACATGTACTAACTTCACTCTCCTTTCTTAAGAGTGAAGCGTGGGTTGCGAACTCTGTAGTGTTTATTTATTTCCATTCAAAGGGGAGATGAACATGTAGGTGATAAGATTATACAGTATGTGCTGTGATTTTTCTGTGTCATTATAATGTGAAAGTGCAGAGCCTTGTTTCCTAGGGATTATCCAAATACCTGATTTCAAAGCTTCCTTCTCCTTCTTCTCAGTCTCTGAAATGGGAAAGAGAAAAGAGTTAGACAGAGACACACTATGGGTACGTCTAAACTACATGCCTCCATCAATGGAGGCATGTAGATTAGTTTATTAAATAAAGGGAAATGAAGCCGCGATTAAAATAATCGCGGCTTCATTTCCCTTTGCCGATCTGTCTAATCTACAAGCCTCCGTCGATGGAGGCATGTAGTCTAGACACACCCTATGTGATGTTATATTCCGCATAATGACTGAGGTTGGTTACAGACACCCAAGTCACACTCCAAGCCCCAGTACAAGAGCCAATAGCTTGGATAAGACCTGGGCTGGCAGTTAATAAGTCGCACCAAAACACTGGATTTGCAAAGCATCTAACCTTAATGAAAGATGTGGGTCTGGATTCTGATACAAATGTGACATTCTCATCTCCCCATCTAATGGGAATTCCTTTTCTGTGTTACTAATAGCCCTTTGGAGTATCAAATCTATGCACTCAAGGTATGACTAAATGATGGACATTCTAACAATTGGAGCTCACATACATCTGAGAAATGGCCTTAGCAAGAAACCATAGAAAAGTGATTCTGCATCAGGTTTCTTGCTCATCTCCATATTTTGGAAAACAGCCCAGAAATTAGCCTGCACTTCCAAAACCATCTATAGAAATCTTGCAGGAACTCTTCTGCTCCATCAGAACACTATGACTGGTACTGTCTTGCTAAAGGACAGATGACACCTGTCTATCCAGACATGGGAACAGGTAACCCTGTGCTGTAGTATGAGTAGAATGGGACTGAGGTGACACTACCGTTACTCATATTTTGGCCTACACTGCTCTCTCAGCCCTGCCTGGTGGTATCAGTGCTTCTGTGTCTACTTAGTACCATGTGTGACTATGAACCCCTGCCCAAGGATACGTATACACAGCAATATTATTTTGAAATAACTTACTCCGCATCTACTCAGCAGGCTGTTATTTTGAAATAATGTCTAAATAGTGTGAAGCTGGAGGACTTCTTACTCCTACTCCTATAATCCTCATTGTATGAGGAGTAAGGGAAGCTGAAGGAAGAGTGCTCTATTTCAAAATAAGTGCTGTGTAGATGCTCGCAATTTTGAAATAAGCTTGTGATGGGGCGCTCTCGCCCCGCACTCGGGAGGATCAGGGCGAGGGGTTTGTGGGACCCTGGGGGGGAGCAGGCCCATCACAAGGATCTGGGATATGGCAACGGCCCCCCGGGATGTGGGGAGCACGAAGAGTTGGCAGGGAACGCACCGGGAGGTGGGGCTAGAGTGGCACGAGTGGATGACATCAATGGCCACTCAGAGTCGCGGGCGGATGACATCATCGGGGGCGACTCCGGGTAGCAGGTGCGAATACGCCAGGAGTCCCGCTGGTGTGGAATTTAAAAAGAAGGCTTGCCAGCCAGGAGGAGGAGGGACACCAAGAGGCGCTCGAACTTATTCCTAGGAATAAGTAGGAATAAGAGATCCTCCGGAAAAGAGCTTTATTCCGGAGGATCGCGCCAGTCTAGACGCTTTTTTCCGGCTTTTCCCCAAGCCGGAAAAAAAGCGGCGGCCATGTTTATTTAAATCCCGCGGGGGATATTTAAATCCCCCGCGGATTTCCCTATTCTGAAGTTGGAAATTAACGTGCCTCTTCCAGAGAAGGGGCCAATGTAGACGTAGCCAAGGAGTGGTATAATAAATAGAGTGGTGGTAGTAAACAACCTCTCGAGGTAGCGTGGTCCTTTTACAAAGCTATTTTGAAATAAGATACTAAACTGATGTAGCTCAGTTTGCATAACTTATTTTGAGTTAAGCCCTGCAGTGTAGATGCACCCTAAAGGAAGGTGGATGAAGTTACCAAGGTTCTCCTGCAGTTCCTGGCGTTCTGAAAGAGAAGAAAAGACATCCATTGTGGGTTTGGTTCAAAGCAACTATTCAAACTCTGGGTACAGCTGCACCATGTCTGGAAGAAAGCTTCTGAGTCTGGTCAGGCAGACACATGCCACCTGTACTCTGATTAGTGGACTTAAAGCATCATTTTAGTGTGAGATACCACATTCAGGTGGTTGATGCAGCTGCTCCGGTACAGTCCCCCTTGGGCAATAGGCATGAACTCTAGTGGGTACCCTGAGAGACTCCCCTGGCTACCCCAATCATACTGCTATTGTTAATATCCTAGCCAAAGCAAGGTTCTCTCCCATTTGTGGTGTAGATGAATCCTCTGAGTAAGGATTAGATTATGTAATGGAAGACCAATATTCCCACTAATTTTTTTCATCCATGTGCAGAATAAATTACGTTATGTACACAGAGGCATGTGCCCATGTACACCACCACCATTAGAAACATATGCTGCTGGCTGTGGGCATCTGAGGGCACTCGGCTAATAATCTGAGTGGCAACTCAATCCCTCCTGGGTGCCCACCCAAGTGCGCATCTAACAGGGAACACAGTGGAGGACAAAGAAGACATAGATTCTGTCACATCCAAAGTCTTCCATGATGTTTTTTTCTTTAGCCCTGGGTGGGCAGGACCGGAGCTGAGCTGGTGGGAGATCCTGAGCTCCTGGCTGCCACAGGTGTTGGGGGACCAGGAGCAGTAATTCACTGGCCCAGACATCTGAGCTTCAGGGGCAGCTTTGAGACTCTGGAGTTCCAGGATGCTATGGATGGTCGGTTTCCAAAAGCTGCCAGCTGCTGGCCTCAGAAGTCGAGCCTCCATGTGCAGCAGGGTACCCCAGACGTCTGAGCTGCCAGAGGCACTGGAGTGATCCTGAAGCTGTGAACCATACAAGTGACTCTGGGTCTTTGGAGCTCTGAGCCATCAGATCAGCACATCAGAGGAGGCCCTTCAGACATGGAAATCCAAGATGTGGCCCGCAGCTACTAGTCACTATAAGCAGCAGTGGGCCCCAGAGAGTGTATGTCTAGACTGCATCCCTCTGTCGGCAGAGGGGTGCAGATTAGGCAGGTCGACATTGCAAATGAAGTGAGGATTTAAATATCCCGTGCTTAATTTGCATTAAAATGGATGCCGTTTTTACCGACTCAACAAGGAGGTTTATAGGATCTGTCAAAAAAGTCTTTCTTTCTCGACAGTTCCCCCTCTAGACTGCCGCTTTTTGCCGACAAAGTGGTGAGTCGGTAAAAACAGCAGACATTTTTATGCAAATTAAGCGTGGGATATTTAAATCCTCGCTTCATTTGCAATGTCGACCTGCCTAATCTGCACCCCTCTGCCGACAGAGGAGTGTTGTACTCTCCATCCCAGTGGATCTTGTATTTGCATCCCTGCAGTCACAGTTATTTTTAGTGGAAGTCAGGGTTAGGAGTGTGTTCGCTAAATGTGAGCAGCAACCTCTGCAGTGTTTGCTATTTCCTATAGCTGGGGGAAATAATCATGAAGGTAACTGAAGTCCACACACAACTAGAGGATTTTTCTCTCTTGTTACAGTGCAAGTACGCTTTAATTAGGGGGTTAGCCAAGTACCTGAGTCAAAGATCTTCCTCTCTGCATCTGAAATAAGGAGAAGAAAAGAGTTAGAGAAACAGAAACAGGTGATGTGTGATGCTGTGTGCCCCATAATGACTGGGATTAGTTTGTTATCTGTACTCCACATCCACATTCCCAGCCCAGCGTACGAGTCAACAACTTTGATATGAGCCATACTGTCATTTATTGAAAAATACCAACAACCAGCAGATCTGAGATTTACATAGCATCTAACCTTGATAGAAGAGGTGGGTCTGGATCCCAATACAGTTCTGACATTCTCAGCCCTTCCAAGGGGAATTCTTTTTCTGTACTACCGAAAGTCATTTGAAACATCAAAACTTTGCACTCCAGGTGGAACTAGGGAATGGACGTGAAATGACCATACCTCAGAGTTGGGACATGGCTTTGGCAGCAAAGCATGTAAATGTATGTGTGTACTAGTCCCTTCCTCATGTCCATGTTTCGGGGATTGGCACAGAAGAGCCTACAGTCATCTACTGAAAGTGGCTGTGCCTCTAGTACTGCACCAGAATAATGTGATTAGCACTGAATTGACAAACGCCAGGTGACACCTGAAACATGAGAGAAGGTAACCCTGGTACTGCTGCACAGAACACACAGTGAAACTGGGGGACTGGAATGACTTTAATGTGGCTCCGATTTTGTCCAAAACTGTTCAATGAGCCTTGCCATGTGGTGTCGGTGCTTCTGGATCTGATCAACATTGTGTGTGGCTCAGAGGTTCTGTCCAGAGGAGGTGGATGATCTTACCGAGCATCTGGCGCACGTCCTGACAGTCTAGGGAGAGAAGAAAATGAGACAATGATGATTTCCTAATAGATTGTGACATGGGGCTACTTCAAATTCTAGGTATGTCTACACTACAGCTGGGAGTGAGGTTCCCAGTTTGGGCAGGCAGACATGGAGGGGGATAGAACAATTTTTATGCTGGGGGTACTGAAAGCCATTAAACCAGACCATAAACCCTACATATAATGGGATGTACTAGGATCCAGGAGTTGTTGCAGCATCACCCGCCCCACCCTCATGACATGAGACAGTAACTCACCATGTGCAGTAATTGAGGTTTTTCAAGATGGTTGTCCCTACAGGTGTTCCACCTTAGGGGTTTTGGCAGCCTGGGCAACCAGCACACACCATTTGGAATGGATACTGACCCCTCAGTTCCTTCTCTGCCCAGAACAGACAGGTCTGAAGCACTGGGGAGGAAGGACATGTGGTAAAACACCATGGCTACGTCTACATTGGTAAAATCTTGCCACCTGTCTACACTGGCCACCAGTATTTGCGCAAGAACACTGACGTTCTACTGTATGAAATCAGTGCTTCTTGCGCAAATACTCTGATGTTCCCGCTCATGGATAAGTCCTCTTGTGCAAGTGTTCTTGCGCAAGAGGCCAGTGTAGACAGGTAACATCAATTTCTTGCACAAGAAAGTCCGATGGCTAAAATGGCCATCGGAGCTTTCTTGCGCAAGAGAGAGTCTACACTAGCACGGATGCTTTTGCACAAAAGCAAATCTTTTGCGCAAAGGCACATGCCGGTATAGAAGCTCTCTTACTCAAATACTCTAACGCAAAACTCTTGTGTTTAGAGTATTTGCACTAAATCTTGCCAGTCTAGATGTAGCCCCTAAGTAACAACTATCTCAAAGAACCTCAGTTACTGCACAAGGTGAGTAACCTTCTCTTCTTCAAGAAGTTCCCCTGTGGGAACTTACATGATTACGAAGCAGTAGTCATGCTCACTGGCGGGAACTTTAGCAGATTTGCATTTAGCATAGATAACATGGTATGTCTGTCTTGAGTGTCTAAAACTGAAAAAGGTCTCTGTAGCATAGTGTTGCATAAAAATGTTAGTGGAAGCCCAGGCGGTGGCTCTGCAGACATCATTCAGAGGTATGTGTTTAAGGGAGGCTCTGGATGCTGCCATTGCTCTGGCGGAGTTCCCTTCCACTGTTGTTGGGGGTTCCCAATTGAATATGGTGTACATGAGATGGATGCATTCTGATATCTGTTTGAATAGTCTCTTAGGGTATGTCTAGACTACATGGCTCTGTCGGCAGAGGGATACAGATTAGGCAGGTCGACATTGCAAATGAAGCGGGGATTTAAATATCCCTTGCTTAATTTGCATAAAAATGGCCACCGGTTTTGCCGACTTAACACTTTGTGGGCAAAAAGCGGCAGTCTAAAGGGAGATCTGTCGAGAAAGAAAGCCTTTTTCAACAGATCCCTTATATCTCCAGCAAGGAAGTTTACAGGATCTGTTGAAAAAGGCTTTCTTTCTCGACAGATCTCCCTTTAGACTGCCGCTTTTTGCCCACAAAGTGTTAAGTCGGCAAAACCGGTGGCCATTTTTATGCAAATTAAGCATGGGATATTTAAATTCCCACTTCATTTGCAATGTCGACCTGCCTAATCTGCATCCCTCTGCCAACAGAGGGATGCAGTCTAGATATATCCTTAAAGATGGGCATGCCTTGAAATCTTTCCATGGAGGAAAGTAAGAGCCTGGAGGATTTCCAAAAGGATTTTGTTCTTTGCAAGTAGAAGGTAATTGCTGTATAGATGTCCAGAGTATATTAAGCTTTCTCCCTGTTGTAGAGTAAAGCTTGGGGAAGAAGATGAGTATATGGGTTCATTACAGTACAAAAAGATAGGTACTTTTGGGAGAAACTTGGGATGTTGGTGGAGGATGACCTTATCTTTGTGAAAGAAGGTATATGGAGTGACCATCATAAGAGCACAAGATCACCCATTCTGCGGACGGAGGTGATGGCCACTAGAAAGGCCATCTTCATAGATAAATGCAGTAATGAGGACATAACCATTGGTTCAAACAGTTTGCCCTTTAGTGCCCTTAGAACAAGATTTAGGTCCCAAGCTGGAGTTGGAGATTTAACTGGAGGCATGTATTTCTTAGTCCTCTTAGGAAATTCGCGACTATAGGGTGTGAAAACAGAGAGTAGTAGTCTATGGAAAGATGAGCTATAATTGTAGGGAGGTATACCCTTATGGAGCTCAGGGAGAGTCCCATGTTCTTGAGAAGTAGCAAATAGTTCAAGCATGGACAATAATTTTTAAAAGAGGGCCACCTCAGAAATTTCTGAAAGCAGGGCCGGATTAAGGGAGGTGCTAGCAGGGCAGCTGCCCGGGGCACAACCTATGGGGGGTGCCTTATGACAGCTGTATGGGGCGCCGCGTGCCCAGCTGCATAGTGCCCCTTAGAGCTGCCATCAGGCACTGCATGCTCAGGGCCGGGGGCCGCGAGGCGCCCCTTAGAGCTGCAATCAGGTACCGCACGTCCAGTAGCAGCTGTAAGATGTGCAGTGCGCCCAGGGGCTGAAAGAGGCCCTGCTGAAAGGGGCAGAGCCCAGAGACTTCTTGTATTCCCCCAGACCTTGACTCACCACTGGGGTGGGTGAGTGCATGAAGTCTTCCCTCTCCCACCCCACCCCTTAGAGAGAATTGCTAGCTGTTTTAAAATCAGGGCCTGCAGGCAGGGGAGTGTGCAAAGTATCCTCACCTCTCCAAGAGTATGTGTTGGCTAGACAGACGTGCTGGCTGTTTTAAAACACCCAGCATTTTAATCTAGCTGCTGTGTATCCCTGACAGAGTGGGGCAGGGTGCCAGAGACTTTGTGCACTCCATGCTACAGGCCCCGACTGGCATGGGGGCAGGGAGCACGAGAAGTTCCCCCCCCCCACCCCCGCCCACACACACACCCAAAGGCATGCAGCAGCCTGCTGATTTAAAATAATTGGTGTGTCTCTCTCTAGACAGCACATGCTCTGGGTGGGGGAGTTCACATGCTCTCCTGCCCTAGGCCCTGATTGGCCTGGGGGTGGGGAAGTGGCAGGGCCATCACAGGTGAGATCCACTGGTTTGGCAGGCCCTTTGCCCACTCCTGAAATAGTGTCATGTTTGGGGAAGATTGGCTGATATGGGAGAAATACTTTGCTTGTCACACCGTAGAGTAAATTGGTGCCACTTATGTGAGTTTTTCTTGTAGATGGCCTACAACAATTGAGGAGGACTTTTACTGGCACCGACCATGTTGTTTTGAGTGGCATTAACCAGCAATGAGCCAGGCTGTAGATTCTGAATGTTGGGGTGATGAAGATCTCCGTCATTCTGAATGAGAAGATAAGAAACCAGAGGGCAGAGCCAACGGGGGCCAACACTATGTGGATCAGGTAAGGGAACCAGTTCTATCTGGGCCAATTGGGTGCTATTAGAATGACCTTGACTCTGTCCTGTCTCTGACTCTGTCTAGGTGGAGGGAGCAGGAACAAGGGAAGGTGCAGCATGTGGCCAGGAGAACAAGGGAGGGTGTCAGTGCAAGCTGGGGGTGCCGGTCTTGGGAGGGAAGGAAGTGATGGGATTGGGGTGTGAGGATGTGAGGGTGAAGGGAAACATTACCTGGTTTTGTGCCCACTTGCAGCAACAGCTGCAGCCATGCTTTCCCAGCCACCTTGGAGGGATGCTCTGCTGCCATGGCAGCCATGCAGTCCACTGCTTCCACATCCATGTGGCCATGGGTCAGTCCCAGAGACCAGAGGGGCCACAGCTATGGCCACATGTCCCAGGGCTAGAGGCGCCGCTGCCATGGCCACACAGCCCAGGACCAGCCCCGGAGGCACCGCTGCCATTGCCACACAACCCTGGATGCAGGAGATGCTCTTACCATGGCTATGGGCTGGGCAGGGAAGCAGGAGACACTGCTGCTGCAGCCATACATTCCGGGACTGGCCCTGAGGCACCACAGTCACAGGCCACCCCAAAGGCCAGAGATGTTGCTTCTGCTGCAGCTACACAGCCTGGGGACAGTCCTTGAGGCGCCGTGGCCTGGATCTGGTCCCGGAGGCCAGAGGCACTATTGCGGTGTCCATTTGGCCTGTGGGCAGCCCCAGAGGTGCTGCTACCATGGCCAGGTGGCCTGGCACTGGACCTGGAGGACGGAGGTGCCATGACTGTGGTGCCTCCAACCTCCAGGGCCAGGCCCAGATCACATGGCCATGGTAGTGGTGCCTTCGGGGTCTGTGTGGCCAAGACACTGTTGAGCCCCAGCACTGCCTCCTCACCAGCTGCTGCACAGGGGGAGGAGGGGCAGGGCTGAGCTCCTACTCCCACAGCACTTGCCCATTAGGGGGTGGGGACTGGCATTGCCTCACAGGCCAGATAAAAGCCCTGGACAGGCTGGATCTGGCCCACTGAGAGGCTTTTGTTCACCCCTGCACTTAGTTTTAACTCTATCTACAACAAAAACTTTTTAAAGAACAGTCTACTAACTAACTGTAACTCTGAGTAACTGGAAAAAATAACTATTTTACTTAACTAACAAATTACTACAAGATATCTAGGGTGAAAGCAGGTTCTGAATGAAGCCAAAGGTGGCAGAGAAGGAATTGAGGGGTCAGTTGGCTGCGCGCACACAGTACCCATTCCAAACGGCTCGTGTTGGCTGCCCACGGTGCACAGTCCATCGCGAGCACTGCTGTCTTAACTCTCCAACTAGAGGCACAGTGATGGCAAAACAGCTAAGGTGAAGCAACCACAGAGACACCCCTTGAAGAAGAAACATAGTTCCAGACTTGTGCAGATGCAGACATGTGCTACCACTGATTGGTCTGTGTGCTAAAAGGAGGAGGGTAGCCAGGGATGGCATGTGCAGCAGCTTGAGCTAGTTGCTCAAGCACAAACTCACTGAGTACATATTAGAGTGGTTACCCTGAGCCACTGCTCCGATTACCCAGACACACTGATATTTTTAACAGTAGAAGAAGCACAGTGAGTGTGTGTCTGGCTATCTTAGCTGGGAAGCTCACTCCTAGGTAAGGTGCAGAAGCTAACTTTAGAAAAAGAACTGTCCAAACACTAAATAACTACCTGAAGTAAAGAGAGTGAGAGAGCATGTTAAGGGTCCATCTGCAGCCCAGGGAAGCTGAAGAGGAACTGAAGGGGAAAGGCCAGGCTGTGCGTGTCAGGCACTCGGGAGACATTTGCGTAAGACACCTCATGTGCATGTGTGGCCTGATGGGGCAAACTGCCTTGCAATGCTCTGATTTGTGGCTCTGGACAACCCACCACCCAACAATGGAGCACGCACAGCGACATCACTCATGGACATGGAGGAAGTTTGCCCAGCCCCTGGGTTTGGTGTATAGGGATGTGATTTGCAGCACACACCGAAGGGCTGCACTGTTACTAGCCACTAAACAACAACTAGTTCATCTTTAAATATGGCTATGGAAATGTGGACAAGGAACCTTTGTGTTCCCACCCACAGTGTCTACATGGGGTTTTTACAGCACAGTGCTCAGGTGCACATCACTATTCACAACCCAGTAATTGGAACTGTTGGGCAGTGTAGACATACTCTGAGTCCCACCAGCCCATTGGCTGTCCATTCACTCTCTGTTGCTAAGACTGAAATGTGAGCTGCCAACTCTGCTGTGTTTGTTCCCTGGGCAGAGGGAGATGACTATGAAGGTCCATACAGTGAGTGTAGTGATTTTTCTACCTCATTATACTGTGAAAGCCCAGGCATGTTCACTGGGGTTTAGACAAGTACCTGCTTCAAAGGTCTTCTTCTTAGTCTCTGAAATGAGGAAAAGAAAAGAGTCAGACCCAAATGATTGGGGCTAGTCACAGTCATGGCACCACACTCTGAAACATAATGCGGGAGCCTGCAGGTTTGTCAAAAGCAGGGCTGATGGTTCAAGACATACACCAACACATGGGAGAGCTGGGGGAGTTTCTCCCTCCTTAGCTCTTGTCTACACACAGATGTGAACCAGTTAAACTAATTAACTTTTATAACACTCCCTAAGTTAAACTGGGGCAGAGCCATGTGGAGAGCAGCACTTGGGCTCCTGCACAGAGCTACTAGAACAATGAGGCATCAACAGTTACTCTACAGCACCCTCTCTGGTACATTGCAGCACAGCACTGATTGCTAGGGGAGCCCTATACAGCCATCCCCAGCTGGAGGAATGGTGGCTATTCAGGGCATGGGTGAAAAGGAGGTGAAAGAAGGAGATCTTCAGGGCTCTTCTGGGTTGCCCCAATCACTGTGCTGCCATGTCAAATCCATTCTCCCTCTCTTACATTTGAATTTTCCCTGTGTGTATGTGCAGTGCCCAGTACCAGTCTGCACCCCCACTGCAAACCAGTATTGGTGATAAATACTGAAAAGTACACAGTGGATGAAATTAGACATGTGGACCTACAGCACAGGTCACAGCATCTCACCCCGTTCGCCCTGCACTGAGCCCAATAAGTCAGGCTGGGCTACAGTGGCTCCCAGAAACATGCACAGACTCGATCTGACACCATCAGGAGATGGAGAATTCATCATTGCCCTGGGAGCCTGTACCCTGGGCATTCGACAGTCACGGGGATGGAATCAGCTCACAGTGGCATTACTCTGACTATGTTGTTTCCTTTAAGAAGATAGAACCACTAACCAATTGACCAGAGTTAGAGGACAGAGGAGTTGTTACAGCAAACCCACCTCCCTTCCCCAGCCCTGGGCAAAGAATCTCACAAGCACTGACCCTTCTGTATCCACTGCAAAATACACATTTGCTGACCAGTGTGTACAAATGTGGAGAGGTGAGGAGTCATTAGGCACCTCAGATTCTATCCCCCTCATTTCACTGAGCCCACAAATAGCACCGAGCAGTCACAGAGCTCACACATCTCAATGGACAGAACAAGAGACAGAGCTGGAGACTTACCAAGAGTTAACTGAGCTTCCTCTTTAGAGCGTTTCTTCTGAGAGGCCTTTTGCTTTGCTGTGGAACAGAGAACCAGACATTGTCATGAGGCAGGGAAGGAATGAGAGACACTGAGCTAATACAGGTTGTGGGTAGAGACCCCAGTTTGTTAGTTTCATTTATTTCCTAAAATCAAATAAGCAAATATTTGAACAATAAGACATTTCTATGCCCAGCCCAGGGCCCTCTGACCAGAAAATAATGCAGTCCCATTACCTGTGTATCCAAGATATGCACAAATTCCAGCAGCAATGAGTACCAGAGCAAACAGTGCCCAGAATGCAGCCAACCAGGGAGATACACGGGGGAAGATGTCACCTGGCAAACAGAGGGCACAGAGTGTGAGGAGCGTGGACCCATACTGGAGCTGAGGAGTGGAGTTTGCCACTTCTCCTGACAGCTTAGTCCTGGCTCAAGGACCCCTAACATTGTGGGAATGAAGGAAACATCCCTTCCTAGTTCTATTCAGACACAAATGAGAAGTCACGGAAACCAAAGAAGCCAGCACAGAATCAGTTCCAATAACCAGGAATCTGACCTGTCCCAATCTCTCTCGCTGTTACAAGCCAATAGCCAGTGTCTCTGTGTTTGTCCATCCCTGTCATCGCAAGCCAGCTGTTCAGATGGTCACTGTCACAGAGTTCCCAGTTTTCATTCACCACTTGTCATGTAGTGTCAGTACCTCGCTGGTTTCTATGCTTGGGCCCCCACTGGTAGCAGATGGTAGCAAAACCCGAGATGGTAGCAAAACCGGTTATTCAAGTACCTAGGTTCAGCCTCCCAGGGAGAGAGACAAAGGGAGGAAGGTGTAGACCACCACCTGGCTGGGTGGCAGGCCCTTGCGGGGAGGCAGTTGCTGTCTGGGAAGCATGGAGAGTACAGGCTAAGCTGGGGGCTAGGGGTGATGGACCCTAACCCTATGGGCCTGAGATATCTTGGCCCTGCCGCCGGTAGCCACATCATGTATGTGCTGTACAGTATTCTGGAAAATCAATAAACCCCTCTCTATTCTACTGGCTGGTGGAGACTGTTCTGGCTGCTACGGGGGTGCAGGATCGGGAAACCTCCAACTCGCCATCAGACCACGTCCAGCCCAGATAATTTCAGCAAAGAACAATTGTTATCCTAGTTGACTCCAGTGTGTTGCAAATTAATGGAGTCACAGATGTTAAATGGTCATCAGGGCTTTCTTGTGCAAACTGTATCTAGATTGGCACGCACACTTTTCCGCAAAAAGTGCTTTTGCAGGAAAGCGTCCATGCCAATCTAGACGCTCTTTTTCACAAATGCTTTTAACGGAAAAACTTTTCCGTTAAAATCATGCCACTCTAGACGTAGCCCTCCTGTATAGGTACTTACACTATGATCAAGTCGCCTTTTAAATTTCCCTTGGAAAAGCTTTATAACTTGAACTTACTATCCTATGTTTTGGACTGTGACAGATTTCCAGATCTCTAATTGTGCTTTCTGAGCATTTTCCTTTAAGTCAAAAATCCCTTTTGAAAGTGTGGACACCAGAACAGGACACAATACCCAGTAATGGTCTTGCTAATACCATACAGAGGTATTGTCACCTACTTTCTCCTTTATATTCTCATGCATAACTAGAAGGGTTACACTCAAAATCTTAGCTCCAGCATCATTGTGGAAACTCATGTTCAGTTAGTGTCCATAGGACCTTTAAGTCCTTTTTAGAGTCACTGCTCACTAGTCTTCTAACCTGTGAGTGTAATCTATGCATTTTGCTCCTATTGTGTGATGTGGCATTTGTCAACGTTGAAATGCATGTGGAGTGAGTTCACATTCCCAGTCAGATAGGTCAGTCTGCAGATTTGACCTTCCTCACAATTTTTTATTGCTCTACCAATTTTTGCATCATCTACCAATTGTACTAGCAATGGTTCTATATTTCCTTCCACCTCATAGATAAAGCTATGACACAGAATATTCGCATGGAACTGCACTGGAAACATCCCCCATGAAGGATGATTCTTCATTTCAGTTACTTTAAGATCTATCAGTTATCCAATTTTTAATCTGCTTAAGTAATATGAGCTCTATTGATCATGTACAGTGTTACTTTTTGTTATAAGAGTGCACAACAAATTTATGTTGGTTTAATCACATTGTTAAGGGCTGTGTATAATCTCACTCTCTGTAAAATATATTTATGCCAATCTAAGAACTGGCATAGACATCATTAGATCAATGGGAAAAAATCATTTCTTGGAGAGGCATGTTTACTACAGCCAGGGAAGAATCTCTTCTGCCATTGTAATAACTGTGTACGCTACAACATTACTCTTTATAATGTACATCTCCTAGTCTATTACTGCAGCCCCATTACCTTTATCAAGCAAATTAACCATCTCCTCAAGCAACACTATTGAGTTATTTTCACAGTGCCCAGCCCAGCTCTTAGCCTGCATTTTCTCCAGATTACAGAAACCTCCATTGCTAATGCCTCCACAAAACAGATTAGAATGAGATTTCCTGTTCCAGCACCAGAAACCAATCTTAGGAGAGTGCAATTCCTAAGCGGTCCAGCATCATCCCTTTCCGTCCCCCCCACCCCACTCCTCTGGTGATCCTTTCAGCACAGGGGAACTCACTGGAGAGGTGAATGGCTGATTGTTGCTCCGTATCCACCATTCTATTCCGCACTATGCAGCTGATGTCTCCACTGCCTTCTCTTTCGGTGACAGTGACATGACTCACAACACTGTACAGGTTCTCCCTGTCCTCAGTCACGTCAGTCACAATGTCCATCGCCAAGTTCTGCCAGTTCTTTCCAACCCACTGGAGTTCGGGTTTGGGGAACCAGCCTGCAGATCGACAGGCCAACCCAATCCCCTGGCCTCGGGAACCCAGCACATCAATGAACACTGGAGCCACAGCTGCAGGGAGAAACAGAGAGTGTATCACAGAACTTTATTTTGGGTAGCATCATGTGATTACTTGGATACTTCTGGGTATACTGGGCTGTAACTGCAAAGCTCTATCCCCTTATGTACAAACCCTCCCCAGGATCCTTTTCCCATGCAGGATGAGAAAGGAATAGTCTGGTTTTAATGATATACTGATATTATTGCAGCTGGTGATGAAATGCAATCACTTCTGGGGTGGAGCCCAGCAGCTGTCAGGATCACTGCATGTTAGTTCAGAGCAGGAAGAGAAGTTATGTCTACACTAGCTCATTAATTCGAGCTAGATATGCAAATGAGGCAACCGGAGTTGCAAATGAAGCTCGGGATTTAAATATCCCAGGCTCTATTTGCATGTTCCCATCTGGCCACCATTTTTAAATCCCCCTTAGTACGAACTAACTGACTGCGGCTACACGGGACTTAGTTCGGATTAACTTTAAACTGCCGCGTGTAGCTACGGGCAGTTAGTCTGGACTAAGGGGGATTTAAAAATGGCGGCCAGACAGGAACATGCAAAAAAAGCCCAGGATATTTAAATCCCGGGCTTCATTTGTAACTCCGGTTGCCTGATTTGCCTACCTATCCCAAATTAATGAGCTAGTGTAGACATACCCAGAGGTATTGTAAGCCTACCTACATCACTGCTACAATTCTTCTTGTGCCACTCTCCTAGATACTGGCCTTTCTCTAGTGTCCTCCCACACTGGGAATGGTGCCCCCTGGTGAAGCCACCTCTCTTGGTTGTATTTCTGTCACACACAATGGGGGATGTGCACAGCCACCTTGTCCTCATTTGAATCACTCTCTAAGAGCACACGTCTCCTGTGGAGTTTGGACTAGGAGACACCAAAGATGAGAAATTATGGAAAACAACCTCCATGATCAGCATTATCATAGGAGGGCCTCTCATCTGGGACTTGATGTTTTTAACTGCATTGCCTGGGGCTGCACTACTCAGTGAGCTCAATGGGCAGAGATGGTTGTGTGTGCTGCTCTTGTACAGCACAAAACATGGGTCAGTGCCCAGGGAATAAACCCCCAATATCCACTTCTTGGAAACTGCAGGAGTAGTGCAGGAGTTGGAAGGAGGGCAAGTGAGTCCCTTCATCAAGAAGGGGTTACTACAGGAATGGAAGAGGAGGCTGGGTCACTGGGTATGGAATATCATCATTTGAGTTGGGATTTGGACAGACCATGGGTTTAAAGATCTCTCTCCCTCAACGAGCTCCACAGTGAGCATGAGAGCTGAGCACTGAAGCTTTACTTCTAATTGAAAAGAGGTTGTTTAATGCAGCACTGACCCTCCTACTACCAGTGAGATCAGTGCTGGCTGGGGGGGAGAGCACTCCCTACTGAGACCTGCTCTCCACTCCCTGAAAAACACAGGACCCTTCCTCCATGCTGGGCTCAGGTTTGGGGAAACGCCAATGTCAGAAAATTCTCTTGGTGCCCAGACACAACACCTTGTAACTCTGTGCTTGGATCAGTATGGGAGCACCTACAAAGCTACAGTTCTGGCTGCCCTGACAAAGTGCCCCTGCCCCCTGGTGCAATATCTTACCTGCAACCCGCAGCTCAGTGATGGCTTCATGGCTCCATTCTGCGTCCCTCACAAAACACTGATATTTCCCATTATCTGTTATTTGGAGCATTTTCAGCTTCAGGGAGATGTTCCCACTGCTGAAATCTGACGGGAACAGTTCTGTGCGGTTCTGGTAACCTGCCCCCGGCAGTTCTTGGGTACCCCTGTCTGCATACTCATGAACCAGGATAAATTCTTGTCCAATTTTCCTCCACTGTACATCCATGTTGGGCAACTGGGCTGGCGGTGAGAGCTGGCAGGGTAACAGCACATCTTGTCCAAGAAACCCCACCACAGGGCTTTGGGAGCCAGACAGGGAGAACTTTTCTGGAACAGAAAACCCCAGGAGAACAGTGAGTGAGAAGAAAGAGTATAGGGCATTGCTCAGCCAGGGCTCATCTGTCCAGACACAGTGAATGAGAAGAGAGGACTTCACAGAGGGAAACAGAATTCCCTCAGTCTTCAATTGCTCATAAGAGATAGCTCCTAGAGCAGAGCATGTTTAGGTCCATTGAATTACTATCGCTGTGCATGCAGGGCAATATAGCTGTACTGTAGCTGATACAATTTAGTCCTCTGATGATGCCCTGCAATCCCTACTTCTGAGAGAATTGATAAGGTCTGCATATTTCTGAGCCTTCCATGCAGAAATAGTCAAAAGAAATCTCTGGGGAACACTTATCACTTCCCTAGCAGGGTATACATTCCATAATGCCAGGTGACACCATCTGTCGCTAGATGTTGGATCACAGAGCAGAGCACAGAGAATCTTGGGACCATGCAAAATGTCTCAGCAGTCACTACATTGTTCTAGAATTTCCAGTGTCTTTTTGTGATTTTTTCCAACTGCCAATCAGACCACAGTGAAACACCACTTATGGGCTAGGGAAACAAGCACTGGGTGGTGGGACCATGTAGTTGTGCAAACCTGGGATAATGAGCAATAACAGCAGAACTTTTGGAGGAGGAAAGTCACTTTCATGGGACTGTGTGCTGAGCTCTCCCCGACACTGTGGTGCAAGGACATCTGAATGAGAACTACTCTGCTGGTGGAGAAGCGTGTGGCAATCACATTGTGGAAGCCAGCTACTCCAGACAGTTTCCACTCCAATCAGTTTGGAGTGGGAAAGTCGACCGTTGGACTCGTGCTAATGGAAGTGTGATGGGCCATGACTCTGGGAAATGAGTGACATTTGAAGGTGATTTATGTCCCTAGAATAGCTGTGTCTGAAGGGAATCCATACTAGTCTGTCCCACCATGGGGCTTATACAGCAATTACTGTTAAACTGCTGCACCTGACACTTACTGTGTGGCTACAGGTGGGGAGGAATAAGGTTGAGATTTCAAATCCACCAAGCAGATTTTTATACCAAGTGTTGCCAAGCCTGGGACTGTGATTTGTTCTTCATAAAGTCCCAGGTCCTGGAGACATGTGATACTTCAAGAATCTCAGCTTTCCATTAAAACAAAGCCAGTTTCTAGCTCTATCTCTTGCTATAGCAAAGAAAAGCTTGAAAATGTCAGGATGCTCTGCAGGCCCCTCTCAAGAGGAGCAGGAACTGGGTGACTTGCTGCAAAATCCAAAAAACCTGCCACACAGAACAAGGACATGCCCCAATTGCCCCCAAATCATTCTGTCCCCACAGCCTCCTCCCTTGGACCACCACAGCTCCCCTTACCCAGCCCTTGAGAGGGCAGTGTACATAGAGTACGAGAAGGGAAATAATTGAGAGTCAAAAGCTTTACCAGAGAGACAACATGGCACCAGGAGGAGGAACCCCAGGCTGCACACCAAAAGCTGCCACCATGTTGCCATGGGGACACACCAGGCAGGGACCTGTACGGAGAGAATAGGGATGGTTAACAAGTCCCCTGCCTGTGTGACAGGCTGGTGTCATGCCATCACATGCTTCATGAACATTTGCTTATGAATATGAATATGCATAACTTAAATATTCTTTAGGAAAAATGCATCATGTAACATATTTTAAAGTTATGATTTGCTGAATATATATTTTCTATTTTTGTGCATGCATCATTCTTGTATGTGAAGTTAGAAATATGTAGTGTGGATCTGCTTAGAGTACTAATTGTCTATTGAGGGCCATTACTAATAATCTGGAAACTTAATTGGCCACTGCTAAAGGTAACAATCTATTAATGGTTTTAGTTTTCCTTAACATCTGGATTGTTTTGGTCATGCCAGAACATGGGGCCAGACCACCCGATTCTGGTTCCCATTTTTGATCTGGAGGAAAAAATTAAATTTAGCACAAAGAATTCTTGCCTTTGGGAAAAAAGGATATAAAAGGGGGAAATGAAACAATAGTAGTTGCCAGACTCCATGCAACCTCCTCTTACCACCCACAATGCTTGATGGAAATATCTAAGGGTATGTCTACACTACAGCGCTAATTCGAACTAAGCTAATTCGAACTAGCGCATCTAGACTTAAAAACTAGTTCGAATTAGCTTAGTTCGAATTAACTATTAGCTTAGTTCGAATTAGCGCTGTAGTGGGGGGCCATGGCGAAGCTGCAGCGGTGCCCGGGCACCGGCATGCCCCGCCGCATCTGGCGTCTGGATACCAGCACCGACTGGTGGGACTGCATCGTCCTGGAGTGCTGGGGAGACCAACAGTGGACCCAGAACTTCAGGATGAAGAGGGACACCTTCCTGGAGGTCTGCGAGTGGCTCGCCCCTGCTCTGCACAGAAGGGACACTCGCATGAGGCCCGCCATCCCCCTCCAGAAGCGTGTGGCCATAGCCCTCTGGAAGCTCTCCACGCCGGACAGCTACCGATCCGTCGGGAACCAGTTCGGCGTGGGGGGATCCACCGTCGGAGCAGTGCTCATGCAGGTACAGCACTCGTTGGCCACTGGGCCGGGAGGGAAGGGGGCTGCAAGGAGGTGATGGGCTGCCCCAGGGAAAACGGGGGAATGAGGGGGAGGAGGCGAAAGTGCCCCGCACCGGAGGGGCCGGTCTCTCCAGGCCGTATTACACGCCACCCGGAGGGGTTGCTTCCCGGGAGTGGGGCTTGGGGCACTGCCAGGGCACGAACACTCCCAGCCACCTGGGCGCCCCAGTGATTTGTGCTTTGCTGTGTCTCTCCGCAGGTGGTCAAGGCCATCAACCGGGTGCTGCTCCACAGGGTGGTCCGCCTCGCCGACCTGGACACCATCATCCGGGGGTTTGGTGCCCTCAGCTTCCCCAACTGTGGGGTGGCCATCGACGGGATGCATATCCCCATCCGTGCCCCAGAACACCAGGCCTCCCAGTATGTGAACCGCAAGGGGTACTTCTCCGTTATCCTGCAGGCCGTGTGTGACCACTGGGGCCAGTTCACGGACATTAATGTGGGCTGGTCTGGCAAGGCACACGATGCCAGGGTGTACCGGAACTCCTCCGTGTGCCAGAGGCTGCAGGCCGGGACCTTCTTCCCCGACTGGCACATCAGGGTCAGGGACGTGGACATGCCCGTGTGCCTGGTGGGGGATGCGGCCTACCCCCTAGCTCATGAAGCCCTACACGGGGCACCTCAACCCCTCCCGCCAGGCCTTCAATGCGAGGCTGACCAGTGCCCGCATCATGATCGAGGGGGCCTTCAGGCAACTGAAAGCCCGATTTCGATGCCTCCTCACCCGTCTGGACCTAGGCGAGCACAACATCCCTCCCGTGGTGGCAGCATGTTGTGTGCTTCACAATTTGTGCAAGCGAAAGGGGGAGGCTTTCCTGCCAGCCTGGATGGCTGAGGCTGACCGCATGGCTGGACACTACGGTC